ACAAACAGACACACACACAAACAGAGACAGACAGACAGACAGACACACACACACAAACAGAGACAGACAGACAGACACAAACACACACACACACAAACAAACACAAACAGAGAAAGACAGACACACACACACAAACAAACACAAACAGAGAAAGACAGACACACACACACACACACAGAGACAGACAGACAGACACTGCAGGAATATGACAAACATCTGTTTTTGTACATATCAGTCACTTTATTTCATTAAATTTGATAACAAAATGGCTTGTTCATTCTGCAGCAATGATATTCTTTCTCTGAATATACATATAGTTTTATAACAGTCGTAATACTATTTCAGAATTACATCAATCTCAATTCCATAGATCTAACCCATTAAAATATTTCAAAGTCCATAAAAGATAAAAAAGAAAAAGACTAAAACAAAAAAAACAAAATATTTAACACAGAAACAGGTTCATATATTGTATTTCTGGGTGAGAGATTCTTCCAACAAGATAAAATAATTCTTACTAACTAAGTGAAACAACTACACAGAGAGATGGGCAAAAAATGTCAAAGGAAAGTTCACAGATGATCCCATTGAATGGTGATAAAATAAGAATTGTTCAAAAATACATACAAAAAAGGAACTAATTCATATACCATTATATTACCCTTTGGGGAAACAAAACATAGGATTCTTCCTTCAAAGTTTCAGCAGCAATAAAAACTTAATCTGCCTATTCACAAACATCCCTCTGGAAATCTCTCTAATAAAGCTCAGCTCGAGCAAAAAAAAGGAAACAAAAATGAAATTGTATTCCATCATCAATTCAAGCTTAACCTAACCAGAAACAGGCCAAATTGAATGAGGTGAGGTCAAATCTATATTTGGCAACCACATGTAATTGAAGCATATGGGTTTTAAACACATTAAATCTAGACCAGACACAATACAGTGGGGTTCTGCAAAGTTGTGAAGCAAATGTATTATACTAAAATGAATTATATTCCAAAGTACAGTTATGTAATACTCAAGTTATCAAAAATGAGTTTCCCTTATCAACTCCTATTCCGAGATGTCTTTTACCTCTTACACAACGCTAGATTTTCCAATTATAAATCGCTGTAGATGTACAGCAATTCAGGCTTTTGCCAGAAACTGACAAACCTCCACTTCACTTTTTTTTTGAGTCAGTTTGAGGTTTCCACTCGTTTTCGACAGAGCACCTGGCTTTTGTACAAGTGATGACAGCTTTGATTTCCTGCACTGTCGTCGGAGTCTACAAGTCAAGCCACCCCTTGTGGACTGTGCGTATGCTCCATCCTTCCTCTTCCCTCTCCTCTGCTCTACCACAAGCACTGAGGGGCAGCGCTATAGCTCGGTGCGGGAGCGGGAGATGCGAGGGCCTTTCCTGATTTCTTTCCTCTTCTCTTCTTTCCTCCTCCTCTTCTCCTCCTCCCTCAGGATCTTCTGGAAAGCCTCGGCAGTGTGAAGCACCTGAAGCAGATGGGAAAAGGCGGGAGAGGCGGATTTTTATCGAGGCTATGTGGGAGATGATGCTATTTTAGGGACAGTATGATAGAGCAAAGATGTGTCCGTGTTACTATTGTTACTGGTTGTGAAGGTGTAAGCAGCAGGTCCCGAGGGTGTTAGAAGATGGTTACCAGGTGAGTACTAGTGGTAACTAGGGGCTGGCAGAGTGTGGACTAACATGTATGCATCTTACTCACATCGTCTCTCTCTGTGCGGTACGGGTTTATAAAGTCTGGGGCTTTCTCTGTTATTCCCAGCTCCTGTGACATCTGAGAGATGAGCAGAATAGACAGATGACAAAGACAAGAAAAGAGAGGGGGCAAATTATGATTTCTTCAAAAGAGATAAGGAATGAAAATGAGATACTGTCATCACTTATTCCACAGCTAAAAAGCAATTTGATGCAATTTGGCGAGCAGTTGCAGTATTATATCTTATTTTTTCGTTTTCATTTTCTCGTTATGGCTTCCGACACTAGGAGCCACACGGACCGGGGGAGGGGGTTCAGAAGCCAAGAGCACGGTTACTAAGGCACAAGTGAGGGCTGGATGCACACTTTCAGGGCGCTAACTGCTGCTGCTTGGAGTCTCAGAATTAATCCACTATATAATCCTCTTGGCACATTGCTAAGGTCACAGATTAATCCTGAAATAGTTTAGTTCATTAACCCACACATTAAAAGGGGGAATACCATTCTATCTGCTTTGCTCTTTTAGGTTTCAAAGGCCACATTACACCATGGACAAATTTGATGACAAATGACACATTTTGCAGTGATGACAGAAAGGTATTAGCTGACACTGAGGATGTATTGTACACTGACATGACATACAGATTTCAGTAAAATCTCCATATTATATACTGTAAGACCTGAACCAGTGTGCGATATTGAACTGTTTTATTGCAGTGCTTCCCACATTCTCACTATACTCTCCTGCAGAGAAAGGGATTCAATTCACTGTGCACTTGTACTGAATGCTGCATCTAGACTTCACAATACGGCTATAATTGTTCAATCCAACAATGATGCGGTTCGTTTCTTTCAGCAAAAAGTTGATGCATCATCATATATCACATTTTTCTCACGTCTCAAATGTACAGAGAATTCCAAAAAGAAACTAAACTGAATCAGTCATCAGTATTAAAACCCATGGAAACCGTACACCCTAAAATGACCAATTTCCATTTTCAATAGCTAAGCAACAACTCCCTCTTTTTCTGTTTAGCCCTACAGAATGCAGATCTCACAAATATTTTCTAAATTCAGCCAGTGAAATAGTCAAACTCAGGGCTGCAGTTACACCCTTACTGCAGAGGATATCCGTGGATAGTGACAGTACTGTTATCGACAGGTAACATTAGCTACAGTAGGTGATTGTCTGGTCTTACAAGTGTGAGGACGTGCTGGTGGGCTCCTCCTGTGAAAACCCCTGTCTGGTTACAGAAGTTCAGCCCCCAGCGCAGCAGGCCTCCCCAGTCAGAGTTCCGGTCGTAGTAGTGGTGGACAATGCGTGGGAAACGCAACGCCACGTCGCCAAAAAATGCTGTATTCTCCACCACATGGGAGTAAGCTGCAGATATTTATAGAGACAGAAGAGAAAAGGTAGGTTAATAAGAAGAAATAAGACAGTGGGGGAGCTTTTTTTTTTCTTATTTTGAAGATATATTGGTGGTGACAAAACAAAAATGCATGACCAAACATGCTGATAAATGTAACAGAGAATGAGTGCAGCTCAAGCAATGGTTGATTTTGTTCAGGGTAGTGGCAGTGATGGGGTTGAATAACAATGATTGTATTTGTGATATTCAGACAGACATTAAAGAGAAAGCTCATATTATTGGCACTGGCTGGCACCAGAAGAGGATAAGCATGAGAGGAAGACTGACAGGTGGAGAATATAGAACAACAAGACAAATAAGTGGTGGAGACAGAATCAGAGTGTGAAAGACACACTAGAGGTGCTGTTAAATATAAGAGACAGACCTTCTTTGATCTTATCGTCCATTGGGAAAGGGTCGTCAGGCTGCATATTGGCTGCAACCAGGACTTGTCTGGAGTCCTCTAACACCTTAAGAACGAGAAAAATGGCTCAATACCCAGGTTTATTTACATTACACTACAGTATGTGCTGTGGATTCCAGTTGCAAGGTGCATTCCTATCACAACATTTTTACACACCACTTTCACTGCTCAGATCGGACCATGCAGTCAATCTGATAAACAAAACTTTACGGTGGACTCCATTAGGGCAAGCAACGGGTGGCCAGAAAAACAGGTTTTGCAGAAAGAAGTGGTTTATAATAAGATAATAAAGTTAAACAGGGAACTGGGAATCACTGTACACACACACACACATCTTTTTCACAGTCATATTGTGGTTAAAATACACCAAAGACACCAAATCAGATTAGAATCAGTGCAGCATCTATGGGGATTGCATATGAAAGAGATTTAAGCACTCTCTCTCTCTCAGACACACACAGTGCTATAGAGATGCTGACAATGTATTTCAGCCACTGAAGGTTGACTAGGCTAGTTGCCCTTGAGAGGTACACAGATGCATTGATAACTATCCCCTGGGAAATTGATGCATACTGTAAAGCGAAGCTCAAAGCTTAGTGCGAGTGAATGGCACTCCAAGCAGCTGAGTCTAAATTAACATTCAAATGAATGCCAGGAAACATGCTGATGAATGTAATCATTGGATTTGAAGCTTTTGATTCTGTGTCGGGCTGCGAACCTTCTTATCCTCCAATCTGCCGAGAAGGTTGAGGTCTTAGAATGAACTGTTGCTGCTGTTGTTTTGTTTTATACTAGTGGCCTTGTTTTTGCAGCAGCCCACAGACTATGTGAGAATATGATGTGAGTGCACACACACACACACAAACACACACCCACACACAAACACACGCACACACACCCTACCTTGAAGAGTCCTTTGAGCATGATGTCTATGATCTTGTACTGCTGATTGATGTCGTTCAGCTCTACCAGATTCTTGAGCGCGTTCAGCTGATCTTTCCTCTTGGTCTCAAACAGTCGCTTGTCTGATAAGAGGAGGTCAGGAGGACACGCACACACTCCATATGGGCATAATTCACACAAATGCTCAATCATGCACCCATCTGGCACATTTAAAAGGCACAGAAACGTATTCATGTGCATGCACAAGCTGACATCCAGAGACACGGCTGTGCATCTGGCAGCGGCTCTGCACGCTAACAGCAGAAGGATACAGATCTCCAGGTTGGAGTCATGTCTCGGCCTGTGTGTGTCCGAGTCCGCCCAGCTGAGGGTGGCAGCGGCGAGTGCCAGGACCACCGCACACACGCTCCGCATGATCAGCAGGGGTCGGCAGAGAGGCGCTCTTCTGAACACAGAGACGACCGGGCTAGAGAGGTACATCACATTGTTAGACAGTGACACATTTGGCAGAGCTGTGTGATTTCAGTTTGTTGCGTCTCCTCAAAACATTCTCTGACGACTGTCGTGCTTAACACATTTTCTTTTGATACAGAGATTTCACTTTCATCTGAAATAGCTTTCTTATTCATGAAGCCATTTTTCTCCTTGCAAAGCTGCTGGAAAGACTCTCTCTCTCTCTCCTGTGATACTTTTGGAATATGCAAAATAGAGAGACATGCTGAGAATAAGTGGTCAATATGTAACACTGGAAGGTAGCCGACATTTGAAGAGAGGCTCCTTATGTTCCTTTTAAAGAGACATCTGACGTCTGGCACTTGTATAATCCCCAGAGGAAACTTTTTACAATCTCTGTACCAGACTCCCTCCCTGCTCCTCCTCTCCCTTATCCCCCTGGTCTCTCTATCTGAAGCGCTGGTCTTCTTCAACATTCTCATCCTGTAACAATGTCCTTTCCCGGAGAAGCTTTTTATACATTTGAAAGGGAGGAGGGGGGGTGAAAGTGAGAAAATAAATACAACAGCTAAAAATAGAGCCTCATCAAATGAAAATGTGATGAGAGACAAATTTTTAAGAAAACATTAGCAGAAAACAGAAGTAACTGGAGGGAGAAGACAGTGTTGATGAAAAGCTACAAGAGATAATTCACATAATTCATGCATAATTTAACATGAGCCCCATCAATGAAACCATCAGAGGGGTATGGGGCTTTGGATAGGAGGTGTGAGGCATGCAGGGAGCATCAGATTGTAGCAGGAGGAATAAGACTGGAGGCAAGAGACAAACTGAGGGGCGTCGAGGCTTGTGGAGGAGGGTGGTGGTGGTGTAGGACTGCGAAGGCGAGACCCCGCGGGAAACAACAGCTTTCCTGGTGAATATTTCATCCAACTTTGCTGAGATGCAGCGGTAAAACGGAGAGACGCACAGATAGGAGCGCGAGTGCAAGATAGAGGAGGAGTGCGAGGCTGTGCGGGAGGATAATGAGCACCAGGGACTTGATTTTGCACTGACAGAATTAATCTTCACAAGCTCGACTGATGATTTTCTAGAATCTGAAGGGCTAGGAAGTGAGCAAACGTCTCAAGGCGTGAATATTAATTCAGACTGAATGAGCCCCCTTTAAAGATATCACTCAAATCAGCGGGGAAAAGCATGTGCTTCAAGAAATACACTAACCCTCTTCAGAGTGCTATCATTCTGTTGTACAACAGCCGTGCTTTTTACGGCACACATCCTGACAACAGCGAGTCCAGGAAATCTTAAAGTAGATCTCAAGATATTATTGTGGATCTGCCAATACGACTGTACCGAAAAAGAAAGCTGACAAACTCCCTTTTCATTGCAGCTACTTTTGGCTCTAAGTGCTGCTCTCTGTGGTCTGGAGCCTATTATTTAAAAATAAAAGCGTAGGACAACTTTTTTTTCTTACAGAGTCAGCAGAAACAAGTGTTCCCGAAGACAGCTGAGTGAAGACAATGTTCGATTAAGGCCAATTTGTGCATTCTGAGAACATCTTTTGGGTAGCTTCCCAGCTTTCTGAGAAACGCCGCACTAAATATCCTTAAGTGCTGCTAGAAAGCCTCAATATTTCTAGATAACAGCCAAGGAAAAGGGGCCTTGTCTCCCCCGTGGCAGCGGCTCGTCGGATTATTTGATGTTCCTGTGTGCTTCCGAGCAGCCAGCCATGTAGCTCTGACAGAAATTTATGAGCAAAAAGGTTATCGCCAGCGGCACAATTGAATGCAGTCAACACATACATCCAGCAGCTGTTAACGTTTCCGCGCAATAGGGCAAAGTGCTGAGACTTTAAGAAGTAGTGTAAGATGGACATTAAGAGTGGATCCATCATCTCTAATGTGGCACAGGCAGCGGAGAAATGAGAGCCTAAATGCATCCATTAACTATAAGCAGGCAACCCTGATTACACAGGATGGTCAATTTAGAAAATCAAAAAGTTGTAGGAGAATCTACCGGCACTCATGTTTTGAGATCAGTTTACACTTGGCACTACAGTTTTAACCGGGAGCTGGGCATCTTTGACTGATAAACTGCTAACATAAAATCCACCAGGGTGATTTCTGCCTGTGGTCCTAACAGCAGCGAGGAGATCATGCCCCTACTACATATACTGTGCATCATATTGTAGGACCGTTAATGCAACACAGCTGCAAGAAATGTGCTTTCACATTCACACCGGATGGATTTCCCTCCAGCCGACGCACTGATGTTATCAACTATCCAAGGCGGGAGGGCCGGCCTCAGATCTGGTGTGTCAATGTGGCACTCAGATTGGGTGAGGTGTGTCCGCCGCGGGGAGGTCTGAAGGCAGAGTAGTTCTCGCTGAAGCTGTGTAAACCCACGTATATCTCTCGGCCGGAGGAGATTTTCCTCCCCTGCCAACAACAATCTCCTGTGGCAGAGAGGCTCAAGTTTGATTTCTTGTGTGGGAGATTCAGGTTCCAGTTTTGTCAGATAAGTAGGCAACCACATCTAATCATACAACAGACCCCTGAAGGCATCTCCACTCTGAGTCTGAACTGCCTGTGGTGTGAAAACATGCACCTGATACTCTGCAATGCCAATTGCTCTAAAAATCACAAGAAAAAAGAAAACATCCTGCATATAATCTCCAATCAACAGCGGGAAGCAGTCCACACTGTCAACCAACCAACTGTGTGACATTCATTTCAAGAGGCAAAACCGACCCTTGAGGTGGAAGAAGCTCCTGAGAGGATGGAACAAGCAAGATGCCTATCAGGCAGCTGGGCGTGCAGCAGGAGTGGATCCAGATTCCCCTCAGGCTGCCAGCCTGCTGTGGGAGGTTTGAGGTTCAAGGACTGACACATCATCTCTCCCTCTCTCTCTGCTCGCATCTGTGAGGCTCTCCCTTGGTTATCATTCATGCAGAGGCACGGACATGCGTAATGGTGATGATGATGATGGCAGAGTCTGGATAAAGACTGTCATGTGGACCATCAATTACAGATGGCTTAATTGATTGCATGTCCCCTACCTGACCCACGTTCCCATCAGCCGCGCGACTGTCTGCGGGCGGTAATTAAGAGTGCATTTGTTTAATTTCCAGCCGATAATTACACGTTTATATTGAGGCTGTGATGTAAGATCACATCTATTGGTGACATACAACAACTCCGCATTAATACACCGCAATTATTTCAGCAAGGGTTCCTCAACGGGTGCGCTTTTAGGGGAATTAACCAAGTATATGAAGTCGCTCCTCGACAAACCGATCCCGCCTGTCATCGCAGCTGTATGCCGGATCCAGCGGTCGACGGCGGCGGCCAGCACCGGAGATCCAGCCGATAAAGCGCCGGGCATTACAGCCACAAAACTCAGCGGATCACTCACCGTGTTGTAGCGAGAGACGGCGGCGCCACACGGCAGCGATTATTGGTCAGCGTTTGTGCTCCAAAGTAGTGCAGTTTAACCTCTTTCTCTCCGTACGAGATGTTTAAGGTCAGCTCGCCGACGGAGCGGGGACGGGACAGTCGGTGCGCCCCGCTGGATCCTCAGGTGACAGCTGCTCGAAGGTGGAGGTGTTCATTTACATGCGGCTCTCGCTGCTCCACTCCGTCAGCGCCACGATCGCACCGGCTGGCTTCGGACGAATGACAGGCAGCCAGCGGGCGCTGGAGCACGGAGGAGGATGTTGTTTCCGCACGGAGGGTTTAAAGAGAGACACCGCCACAGCGAAGCGAGCGTGGGGTGCGTTCCGTTTCCCTCATGTGTTTCCTCTGAAGTGCTTTAGGGCTCACAGATTTTCCTATAAAACCATAAATAGTTTTTTTTTAATTCATTTTTGTTTTCAAATTTTGCTTTAGCATATTTTATTCATTTTTTTAAGAACAATGTTTTTTTTGTTTTTTTTTAAACAGATACATATGAGAAACCCCAAACCCCCCCCCCCCCCCAAAAAAAAAGCCACACATCTAATACACTTCGGTAAAACCCTGCAGCGAGAGCATAACACATTCATGGGGGCGTTGGTAGGATGCCAGGCCACAGTGGAATGCCCCCTGCGTACCAGGTCTGCTCTGCAATCTGGGCAATATCATCCAACTGCCCGCCCACCCAAATGGCGGGAAGGTACAGTTTAGAACAGGGGCGACCACTGCTCATCAGCAAACCCACTTCCATTCCCTTCACAGACTGAGCAGCATCTGTCAAAAATTTAAAGGTTCTTACATACCGCTGTTAAACAGTAGGAGGTTTGGGCTTTATCCATTGAAATAAATTGATCGTCTTAACTGGAGAAGCTTGTTCAAAAGTTTTGGCTGGAAAGTCAAAGAGAGCCCCTTCGCCTGAAAGATTCAGCAGAAACAAACCAGGATTCATTTGTGTTTCCTTATTAAAATAGAGTTAAGTTCCTGTGAGACTTCCCCCCAGAAATTAAACATCACAGACCAGTGCCAAATGCAGTGTATGTAAGACCTCATATCTTTTCTGCACCTGACACAGAGAGCAGAAACTGGCTTTGAGTTGTTCAAATTATAATA